TTCGAGGGAGACCCCAGGGACGTGCTGATGCTCTGGAGGGACAGGGGGATTTTCAGACTCTTCCCACACATTTTTACCCAATATGTCCATGCAAATACTCCCACACCACGTTGTACAGCATATGTTATTTTCTGGGCAGTCTTTGACAGCTTCACAGTGGTTCCTACACAGATACGATTTTGGCTTCCTCTCACACTCCCTGATAACACGCTGACCTTGTGTTACTGAAAAGAACATCAAGAACAAGAGAGTGAGTGGAATGGCTGCCTAGAGAGAATCCCTCCCAGGCTTAGAGTCTTCAGCATGCTGCGGTCCCACTCACTACACGCCTGCATTTTCCAGGCACCTTTCTTTGTGCCTCTCACCAAGTCCTGGTGATTGATTTATATTTTAAATCCCATGCCCTATACTAATCTCATCACCTTCTCCACAGCTGTTAGCATCTGGGTCTCCTGGTTTTTCTCTTACCTGCATCCAAGACCAGTCTCTCCCAGTAGACCGAGCTCTGATTACATCATCTCCATGTAATATATACTCTTGCTCAGCCCATAGAAACCCGAGACGTTTCTCAGACCCTCTCAACTCTCCAGAATTTGCTGGATCCATGAGGGTGACAGAGCAGCCCCTGGCCTCTTTCTGCTTCCTCTGCCGGCCATCTTTCCAGTATCCTGTCCCTTTCACAGTTTGTCTTTTATTGCCACCCCTGCCTCAGACGGCAACTTCATCTTACCTCCTTCACACCCAATGTCTCTTGTTTCTGCACCTATGCCCATTCCTAGACCCCCATGAGTATCTCTGCACAGTTGTTCTTCCCCAAAAATGCATCAATCAAGAACAATTGTCTTGTTTGCCCATTGGATTTTTAGCTTTGGGGCCCCTTTTGCCAGAGTAGGGATCATTAGCCTCTGGATCTTTGGAACAAAACGGGGAAAACTGCAGGCTCACCCTCCACCTTATCGCTATGTCTAGCTCTGCAAGCCAGAGCCGAGCGAGGTATTGAGATCACTAGGAGCCCAGATAGTGCTGTCGAGGAGCAGGGTATGAAGTGGTGTCACTTCTGTGTCAGTTCTCAGTCCCTCCTTGCCTGCTACCCTCCTCATCTAACCGCCTTACCTTCATATTGTCTCTTCTTTTGGTTGATCCCTCCCTGAGCTAGGGACCACAGCAACAGCAGAGCAAAGATGAGCAGCAGAGTCCTGGACAACATGGGTCTGAGCAGAGTCACAGGGGAGCTGAGAGCTGGTCTGGATGGCAGACTTCCCCCAGCAGGATGAGGGCTCACTGCTGCCTTTGCTGGCCAAGCCAGGGCAGAGCAACAGCCAACCTATTTTTCTCCCCTCTTCTTGCCCCCTGGTCTGTTCTGTGCAGCCTCAGAAGATACCACCTTTTGAAGTATCAGCCCTCTTTTCTTGTTAACATAATTTTCATAATTGTGGAATATACAATTCAGGGCTCAGAAAATTGCTCACTTGGTAAAGTGTTTGCATGAAAAAGTCAGCCTGGAGGTGAATGTCTGGAAGCCAGAACTGGGAGTGATAGCAGAGCAGGTAGATCCCAGGGTCTTGCTAGGCTGTCTGGAGGGGAAAATGAGTGCTAGATTTGGCGAGAGACTGTGACATCTACTGTTAGTCTCCATATGTGCAAGTGGACACATGCATGCACGCACATGTACACACGACACACATGGAGAGGATATACAGTTTATTTTTGTTTCTTTTGTTTTGTTTTGTTTTGTTTTTCGAGACAGGGTTTCTCTGTGGCTTTGGAGGCTGTCCTGGAACTAGCTCTTGTAGACCAGGCTGGTCTCGAACTCACAGAGATCTACCTGCCTCTGCCTCCCGAGAGCTTGGACTAAAGGCGTTTCTTTATCCTCTGACAACTTCATACCTGTATATGGTATGTATGGATCCCACCATTCACAACCCTCTACTTCCACAGATTCTGAATTCTTAGCCCCCAATATGTCCACCTCTGTGTTTCTCTCCCTCCCTCCCTGGCTTCCTCTCCCTTCCTCCCTCCCCCTCTACCTTCCTCCCTCTTTCTCTCCATCTCTCTCTCTCTCTCCATTACCAGGGAACCTACCTATCTCTGGTGAAGCCCCACCTCTTACAGGTTGCATCACTCTTACCATTGCTACTCTGGGGACCACGACTCCAGCATAGGAACCTTGGGGAACAAACTACAAACTATACCAGGTATCATTTTCCTCCTCGTCAATTTCCCTTCTGTGTGTCCCCACACCGCTGTGCCTCTGTCTTTGTACTGGCTTGTCCCCCTTGGTTACTAACTCTATGGAGTCTTAGCATGCTCTTCCCACCACTCAGAACCAGTGCAACGCGGGAAGGGTTTCACATAAAGACATCTATTGCTACATAAAGTAACCCTGTAGGCCAAGTGAGAGGAGCCTGGTCTTTGAGAGTGCTTGACCTCTTCGTGTGTGTGTGTGTGTGTGTGTGTGTGTGAGAGAGAGAGAGAGAGAGAGAGAGAGAGAGAGAGAGAGAGAGAGAGAGAGAGGAGAGAGAGAGAGAGAGAGAGGTGGAGGAGCAGAGAAGGACATTGGATGTCCTCCGCTGTCTCTCTCCACCTTATCCCCTCCAAACAGGGACTTTCACTGAATCTGGAGATTGACCTTTTCAACCTGGCTAGGTGGCCAAAACTATTGATTTCTTTGCCTGTCTTACTCAACATTGGAGTTATAGGTATGTTAGGTACTGCTAGGATTTTTTTTTTTAGTGTGGGTGCTGGGATCTGAACTCAGGTCCCGTGCTTGCACAGCAAGCTCTCTTACCCACCGTGCCATCCTAGCTTCGATCATGTTTCTCTTTGATATTTGGTGAACAAATCTCTCCACCCACCAAGCAACAACTCTGTAGCAATCACTCCACTTCCTTCATTTGCTAGACGGCCATCTAGCTTTTATTAAAATCCAGTTTCTTCATCTATGTAAAACCTGGAGGGCATTTGTGGCAGCCTGTACTTTGATGATCAAAGAAGAATCGATACTGAGCAGGATTTGATGTTGAAGGTTATGGCAAGATGCTCCTGTAACTCTAGTATTCAGGAGGCTGAGGCAAGGGGATTGCCATGAGTTCCAGGCAAGCCTGGGCCAACGCAGACAGGTGCCTTTGACTCCCTTCCTGGGCGAGCTCAGATGCAAAAAAAAAAAAAAAAAAAAAGACTCTGCACCGTGTGGTCAAGGACTTCTGGATTGGAACTAGAGTTGTACAGCAGGCACACGTTGTCCCCGGCCCACCCAGAGGCACCATCTGTGTCAACACAGCCCTGTGCTTGCTGGTGAAAGAGTGCCAAAGAAAGAGTCTGTGATATGGTGGCACGTAGCTCCTGGGTGAACTTAAAACTCTGCCATCAAAAAAGTCACCCTAACTTCTAGGTCACAGAACATCTTTGCTCCTGCTCTTCTGTGCTCTGGTCCAGGTCTGGACAAAAGGGCTATCAGAGTGTTCTCACAAGCACCCACAGAATGGAGAGTGTGAGAGTCTTGAGGTACGAGATTTATTTATGGCTGGTTTAGACTAGTTGCTGCCTGGAATAGTGTCAATGTTTTTCCCGGGATATGGTTGGTGGTGCCCTTTTTGCTCAAGTAAGAAAACTGAAAAAGAGGTGACATGACCAACATATCCAAGACCCCAAAGGTGGTAAACTTCGTGTAGATGACGTGGTCACCTGTACTCTTGTCTAACTGGGTCTTTACACTGTGGGTGAACCAAGGATTTGAAGTTTGGGAGATCTGATTCCCTTCTCTGGGTTGAGTTAGAGCACTGGAAGTGTGCAAGGAAGGGCATTGGGCATTACCAGGACCCTGAGAACCTTCTGGGGACCAGGATGTTAAAGTAAGAATGAGGAATCAGGGGTCTGGAGAGGTTTCTCAGTGGGTAAGGTCCCAGACCATTCTTGCAGAGGACAAGAGTTCTGTTCCAGGCACCCACATAGGGTGGCTCACAACCATCTGTAACTCCAGCTCCAAGGAACCCCATGCTCCTTTCTTATGCACACACACACACACACACACACACACACACACACGCAGCATGTATATGTAAAATAAAAATAAATACATCTTTTTAAAAAGAATGAGGTCTTAGGTTTGTATTGCTTTCAACATTAGCCAGAGAAACACGGCAGAGACTCAACTGGTCAAAGTGTTGAGAAGTAACTGTTGAAACAAAACCAAAAAAAAAAAAACCCCAAAACAAAACCAAAAAAAAACAAAAAACAAAAAACAAAAAACAAACAAACAAAAAAACCAAACCGGGGGAGCAGAGCCTTGGAACATGTAGCTTTAACAATATACATCGGCATCTTTAGGAAACCCACAAGTTACTAAAACAAATAGGAGAACAGAGTATAAGAGTCCATTACTTCAGCTGTCCACAAGGACATCTTCAGAAAACACACACCAGAGTGACTAAAACATCCCACTGTAGCATAGTTGAAAGAACAAAAGTACTTCTGTTTTGTACACACACACACACACACACACACACATACACACACACACATTGGTGTGTACATGCACACATGTGTTTGATTGAGCATTAACTATTACATATGTTTCTAGATAAAATAGCAGGACCCTTGATGTATCTGATTTCACAATGTCATGAGTATAATGTAAAAGTATACACATATACTGGTGGTCATCAGTTACCGAGATTTCTCTGTCTCCTCTTTGTATTTTATACTTTAAAAATTACACAATCTAAGAGTTCATTATTTGCCTTAGAGAAAGCAACATGTTATAAAAGGAAGCACTTTTGCAAAGGAGGGGTGTGCTGTGTGAGGTGGGAAGCAGCCCGAGGGAAACTGATGGCTACTGAGGGAGCTGGTTTATTTGTGGGGGCCGGAGGGATGGGGGAGGGGCAGGATAGAGAGTAACCCGGCATGTCATTCTCCTTCCTGACCCCAGTTTGCCTTCATTTCTTTTCTGTTTCTAGCAGCCGTGACTGAAGATTTGTCTTCCTGTAAACGCCAAGTCTGCCATGAGGCTCCAGATCCTCTTCCTTATGGTGTCCATCCACGAGATGGTGGTGTTTCTCTATGTTCTGGGAAGCTTCAATAAACATGGTAACGATGATAGCATGGCATTGGGGGTGCTCTCCTCACTCCTGACATATCTGTCATAGCTGACGTGGGGTCCACAGTCTAAAAATCAGTCTTCAGTTTGATCGCTGGGAAGTACAGTAGAGAGAACTCTCCAAAGCTGTCCTCTGACCTCTACACGTGTGTGCCATGGCACCCGCATGCCTCCACCCGAATGCATACACCACACACACATGCACACACGACAAAAGCTTCCCAGGTAGATTACAGGGGATGGTTCTAATTTAGGGTCCCTTCTAATTCCCTCTGCATCTCTGAAAGCAATACCAGGCAGAGCCTTTTCTACATCCCATGGAGCATGAGGAAACCAATCTTCCATCAGACCAGCTCAGTTAGGGTAAAGGAAACACTAACACCAGGTTTCTCTTTGAGCTCATATTTCCAAAATCTCTGTGCTTGGGCTAAGTGAGACATTGATGAGAAACTCAATGGTGATACTAGTCACACCCATTTCGTTTGAGAGCAGTTAGGGTCTGAAAAAATGGAGAAAACAAATGAGGGTCCCTTAGAAACCCCCCCCTCTCTCTCTGTCTCTGTTTGTCTCTGTCTCTGTCTCTCTGTCTCTCTGTCTTTCTGTCTCTCTCTCTCTCTCTCTCTCTCTCTCTCTCTCTCTCTGTGCGTGCGTGCGTGCGTGCGTGCGTGCGTGTGTGTGATAAGGAAGTGGGAGTAAGCAGGACTGAGCAGAAGTTTCAGGTCACGGAGAGTATGGATTTTAGGGGAGGGAGTGGCTATTGAAGGGGAGCAAATAGAAAAGTGGAAAATGAGGTTCCTACTGTCTTTGACTCACTTTCCCCATTCTGTACCTATTGGGCACGAATTCAGAACACAGGATTGAGGTTGCAGGCTCTGAAGTCTAGCGTCTTATCAGCATACATGTGGTGAGGCGGTGCATGTTGGGAAGGCATCCCTGGTCTGAGATGTAGGACCCAGAATCCCACAGTGCCCTGGTGACACCTGGGAGGAAGGAATGGCTACCATACAAGGATGCTAACCAAGTGTAGACTGGTTAGAACTGGAGGGATTTTCACGGACAGCTTCTGCTGTCCTGGATACTTTCTGGCACAGGCTAGCTGAGCTCCAGAAGGGCTTGCTCCGTCTGAAGGTCTGGAAGGGTGTCTGCTGCACACTATGAGTGGGTAGACCCTGCCAACCTCCAACATCTTAATTCCAGACCAGACTGAAGAGATCGACCAGTGCTGGGTCCAGCCTCCAAAGAGTTTCTGTGGGAAAAGGTGCACGAGGATGAATGAATGCATGAGTGCAAACCACACGTGCTGCTGGACGTACTGCGGGAACATCTGCTTGGACAACGGGTGAGAGACATGGGGGAGAAGGTGAGGGTGTGAGCATGCTGGAGTTCTGCTCCTCACACACTATTCAACCCACTATTTAGAGGTTGCAGGAAATGCCAGTCATCTAAATTCTGGTCACAGAAAAAATCAGATAAAGCAAGAACTTCCTGTCTCCAAACCCAGGTTACCATTCACAGAGACAAGACACTGACGTGGGATCTGGTTTTTTTTTTTTTTTTTTTTTTTTCACCACTCTCATTCAGTTTCTTTGCTTCTTGTACAACATCACCCTCCAGTTCAAATGTCCCTCCTTTGTCCAAAAGCCCCAATTACTGCTTTCTTTTTCTCAGCCAGACCCTAGAAGAACTTGTACTCACCTGTCTTCTCAATCAGCAAACTATTAGGGAAATGTCTTTAATTTGTTTTAAAGTTTATTTATTTAGTGTATGCACACTTACGTGTGTGTGTGTGTGTGTGTGTGTGTGTGTGTGTGTGTGTGTGTGTGTGTGTAGAGGTCAGAGGACAACTTGTGAGAGCTAGTTCTCTTCTACCATCTGGGTCCATCTGCTGAGCTGTCTTAGTGTAACAGAGAATTTCCGCCATTTTCTGGAGCTTGGGTATTGTTGTTTGGATATGGATTCATTCTCAGGGATACTGATGTCTAATGATCTACTTTTTCTCTTCCAGAGAACCCTTCAAAACACTGATGAAACTCTAGTTTCTAAGTGGCCCACCGCTGGTGTGGGTTGGGATGTGACTGTGTCTGGGAGGAATGCTGCCTGCTTTCCTATAGGGACACTCAGTTCAGCTGAGACCTTTCTTCTCTCTCCTTGATGTCTTCCCTCAGAGGAAGTCCAAGCTTTTTCCAAATAAACAGATACATCAGCATGAGGTTCTGTGACTCTTGCACACATTTTTTTAAAGATGTGCATTTCTCTTGTTAGAAAGCCCGACAGTCTTAACAGTTGCTGACATCTCACCATGGATACAGACACAACTCTGACTTCCCCTGGGTATTAGCCAACTCCTGTAGCAAAAATACAAGGAGGTTTATAAAAATTCCATGGAGTTGCCAAGCATGGTTGGTGGTGCACACTTACAGTCCCAGCATTTGGGAGACTCCGGGCAGGAAGATTGTGTGTTCGAGGTCACAATCAGCAACAGCAACAACAACAACAACAAATTCATGTGACTAACAATTTAAGTTAACTAACATTCATAATACATTTTCCAAGTGTTGGCAGTGGGCAGTCACATACGCCACCGTTAAAGATTTACCATCTGTAGCTGTCACCTCCCAGGACCTCATCTGATGGTTCCCTGCCAGCATATAGGAGAAGTAAGGTAGTAGAGGGATTCATAAGAAGTTTTTATATAGCATGAATTCTATTTGGTTTTAATAATAAAAACCCAGGAGGGTTCTGCTGCCCTGCTCAGGGACAACTGAGGCCCAGGAACTGCTTAAGGGATCCGAACTTGGCAGGATCCAACACACCCAGAGACTGCCAAGGCCCTGGTAACAGTCCTGCCTCCATCCACCTGACCAGGACCAGGTAGGCCAAGGGCTGTTTCCGGTTTGGCTTCTGCTGCCCTGTTTGGGGACACCTGAGGCCCGGGGTCTGCTCACAGGATCTGAACTCGGCAGAATCCAACACACCCAGAGACTGCCAAGGCCCAGTAACAGTCCTGCTTCCACCCATGAGAAGAGGACTGACATCAGAGTATTGGAACTGTTTGCATCTACCAGAAGGGAACCTTAGTCCTGTACCCACCAGGAGAGGAAGAGACTCCTGCTACACCCACCAGAAGAAAGGATGGGAAGAAGACAATATAAAAGCACATTCAACAACAAAAAAACCAATATGATGCCACCAGAGACTAGGGACCCTACACCAGCAGGACCTGAACATCATGATGCAGATGAATCAGAAGAGAATGACATTAAAAGCATCTTCAAGAAAATGATAGAGGACCTCAAAGAGGACATGAGAAAATCTCTTAAAGAAATGGAAGAAAAAAAAGCCAAAAAATACAAGATATCAACAAATCTTTCAAGGAGACAATTCAAGACCTAAAAACTGAAATAGAGACAATAAAGAAAGCACAATCTAAGGGAATGCTGGAAATAGAAAAGCTGGGTAAATGATCAGGAACTACAGATGCAAGCATAACCAACAGAATACAAGAGATGGAAGAGAGAATCTCAGGAGTTGAAGATACACTAGGAGAAATAGACTCATCAACCAAAGAAAATCTTAAGTCCAACAAATCCCTAACACAAAATATCCAGGAAATATGGGATACCGTGAAAAGACCAAACCTAAGAATAATAGGTATAGAAGAAGGTGAAGAAATCCAACTCAAAAGTGCAGAAAACATATTCAACAAAATTATAGAAGAAAACTGTCCCAACCTAAAGAAAGACATGCCAATGAAAGCACAAGAAGCCTACAGAACACCAAATAGACTGGACAAAAAAAAAGGTCTCCTTGCCATATAATAATCAAAACCCCAAACATACAGAACAAAGAGAAAATATTAAGCGCAGCAAAGGAAAAAGGGCAAGTAACATATAAAGGCAAAACTATCAGAATTACACCTGACTTTTCCATGGAAACTCTGAAAGCCAGAAGGTCCTGGGTAGATATTCTACCTACACTAAGTGACCACAGACGCAGCCCAGTCTACTACACCCACCAAAACTTTCAATCAATAAAGATGGAGAAAACAAGATATTCCATGACAAAACCAGATTCAAACAATACGTATCCACCAATCCAGCCCTACAGAAAGTTCTAGAAGGAAAACTGCAACCCAAGGAAGTTAACTACAACCAGAAAAACATAGGCAATAGATAATCCCACTTTACCAACAGCCAAAAGAAAAAAGGGGTGGAAACGCACACATAATTTCACCACCACCACCAAATCCAAACCAAACAAGAATGAACAATCAGTGGTCATTAATATTCTTCAATATTAATGGTCTAAACTCACCCATAAAAAGACATAAGTTAACAGAATGGATAAGAAGACAGAATCCATCCTTCTGTTGCATACAAGAAACACACTTCAACTTTAAAGACAGACAGTACCTAAGAATTAAAGGTTGGGAAAAGATTTTCCAATCAAATGGACCCAAGAAACAAGTGGGGATAGCAACCCTTATATCCAACAAATTGGACTTTAAACTAAAATCAATCAAAAGAGATGAAGGAGGCCACTTCCTACTCATCACAAGAGAAATCCATCAGGATGAAGTCTCAATTCTGAACATTTATGTCCCAAACACAAAGTCATCCACATTTGTAAAAGAAACATTACTAAAACTCAAATCACACATAAAACCACACTCACTTATAGTGGGAGACTTCAACACCCCACTCTCACCACTGGACAGAAACACTAGACAGAAACTTAACAAACAAACAAAGGATCTAATAGAAGTTATGGCCCAATTTGGCTTAACAGACATCTATAGAACATTCCATCCAAATACAAAAGAATATACCTTCTTCTCAGTACCACATGGAACCTTCTCTAAAATCAACCACATAATTGGCAACATAGTAAACCTCAACAGGTACAAGAAAACTGAAATAACCCCCTGTATCTTATCAGACCACCATGCTTTAAAGTTAGAATTCAACAACAACACGATTTGCAGAAAACCTACAAACTCATGGAAATTAAGTAACGCCCAATTGCACAATTCCTGGGTCAAGGAAGAAAGAAAAAAAGAAATTAAAGATTTTCTAGAATTCAATGAGAATGCTGTCACAACATATCCAAACTTATGGGACACTTTGAAAGCAGTGCTAAGAGGAAAGTTCGTAGCGCTAAGTGCCCACATGAAGAAACAGGAAAATAACCACACTAGAGAATTAACAGCACAACTGAAAACTCTAGAACACAAAGAAGCCAATACACCCCAGAGGAGCAGACGCCAGGAAATAATCAAATTGAGGACTGAAATCTATAAAGTGGAAACTAGGAGAACAATACAGAAGGTTCTTCAAAAAACAAAAACAAAAACAAAACAAAACAAAACAAAACAAAAACCCAACAAGATAGACAAACTTGGGCTGGAGAGATGGCTCTTCCAGAGGTCCTGAGTTCACTTCCCAGCAACCACATAGTGGCTCACAACCATTTGTTATGAGATCTGGTGCCCTATTCTGGTGTGCAGACATACATGGAAGCAGAATGTTGTATACATAATAAACAAATAAAATCTTTTAAAAAAAGACAAATCTTCATCCAAACTTACCAAACTGCAGATAGTGAACATGCAAATTAATAAAATCAGGAATGAAAAGGGTGACATAACAACAGACACAGAGGAAATCCAGAGAATCATCAGGTCATACTTCGAAAACCTGTATTCCTCAAAATTTGAAAACCTAAAGGAAATGAACAATTTTCTGGACAGATTTCACTTACCAAAATTAAATCAAGAACAGATAAGCAACTTGAGTAGACCTATAACCCATAATGAAATAGAAGCAGTCATCAAAAGTCTCCCAACAAAAAAAAGTCCAGGGCCAGATGGCTTCAGTGCAGAATTCTGCCAGAAACTCAAGGAACAACTAATACCAAGTCTCCTCAAAGTATTTCACACAATAGAGCAGAAGAGTCATTGCCAAACCCTTATTTACGAGGCTTCAATAACCTTGATACCCAAGCCACACAAAGATACAACTAAGAAAGAGAACTACAGACCAATATCACTCATGAACATTGATACAAAAATACTCAATAAAATACTGGCAAATCGAATCCAAGAACACAACCACCATGATCAAGTAGGCTTCATCTCAGGCATACAAGGATGGTCCAACATATGAAAATCCATCAATGTAATCCACCATATAAACAGACTGAGGAAAAAAAACCTCACATGATCATCTCACTAGATGCTGAAAAAGTCTTTGACAAATTTTTGGAGAAATCAGGGATAACAGGAACATACCTCAACATAATAAAAGCAATATACAGCAAACTGACAGCTAACATCAAATTAAATGGAGAGAAACTCAATGTAATTCCTCTAAAATCAGGGACAAGACTGCCCACTCTCTCCATACCTCTTCAACATTGTCCTTGAAATTCTAGCTAGAGCAATAAGACAACAAAAGGAAAGTAAGGGAATACAAATCAGAAAGGAAGAAGTCAAACTTTCACGATTTGT